ATTAACGGGCTACCGAGTAGAAGCTGACCATCAAGTGCATACAGACGCGAGTGCCATCGGACTCGCAGGTGTTTTACTCCAAAATGACAACGGAGATTGGAAGCCGGTGGCGTATTTTAGTCGATCTACCACACCGCTGGAAAGGAAATATCACAGTTACGAATTAGAAACGCTTGCAGTTGTCGAATCTGTGGACCGCTTTAAATATTACATCTATGGAAAGTCGTTTACGGTTATTACCGATTGCAATGCTGTAAAATTGGCCATGCAAAAGCGAGAAATAATACCTCGTATAGCCAGATGGTGGCTTCGTATCCAAGACTATGACCTCATCATCGAACATCGAAGCGAGCATCGAATGGCGCACGTCGACGCACTAAGTCGTATGCCTAAGGAAGACGGTTGCGATCTTGAGGAAGCGACTTTGCGAGTCTGGAAGGCGGAAATAACTGAGGCAGATTGGCTTTACAGTATGCAATTACAAGATAGCAAACTTCAACAAATCGTAATGAAAATTGAGGATAACGGTCTATGTGGTTCGCTCGAATGCGAAACTTTGTCAAATCTTTTGTGAAAGCGTGCATTGATTGTGCCTTCACTAAGCGTCGAGGAGGTAAAAAGGAAGGTGAGTTACATTGCGACAAAATGGAGCCTATTCCGTTCAAAACAATACACATTGACCACCTGGGACCTTTTCCCCGAAGCCGAAAGTTAAACGAGTATATCCTGATTATTGTGGACAGTTTCACAAAATTTGTCATCGTCAGACCAGTGAAAAGTACGAACACTAAACAAGTCATCGCCATTCTGAATGAAGTTACCAGTTACGTTGGAACCCCTGAAACTATAATAAGTGATCGTGGTACCGCCTTTACGTCAAAAGAATTCGAAAGATACTGTAACGATCAACAAATCAAACACATACGCAACGCAGTCCGTACGCCACGAGCCAATGGCCAAGTCGAACGATTTAATCGCACCGTTTTATCCATGCTGCAACCATCAACACAAGATGACCGAACCTGGGACGAGCAACTACGAAGCATTCAATGTACATTGAACTCACTGATTAGCCAAACGACGGGAAAATCTCCAAACGAATTGCTTTTTGGATTCAAGCCACGCGACATATTAGGTAACAAGCTGATCCAAATTCTCCAAGATGAAGACGATACTATTCCCATCACCCAAGAAGAACTTCACCGCCGACGATTACTTGCTGCTAATAACACCGATAGTAAACGGGTAAACGCGAAAAAGCGTTTCGACGATAAACACAGGAAACCAACGAAATATGAGCAAGGTGATTTAGTTCTAGCAGAACGAGAACCAGCATCCACAGGCACGTCCCGCAAACTTGAATGTCGATATAAAGGACCGTTCGTAGTCACCGAAGTTCTCGATAATGACCGTTACGTCATCGAAGACCTACCAGGATCCGATCGAAAACAACGACATTATAAATCAATCTATGAGTCTGATCTCCTAAAGACATGGTGTCAATTGCCGTGTGACAGCGAATGTCAAAAGCGAGTGAACGAGAGTAACGGAAGTTCGTTGAATAGCGTCATTTGGATAGCGTCGTGATTAAATATTTTGTTCAGTTAAATAAAGTATATTAAAGTTATGTTATTAAATATTTTGTTCAGGTAAATAAAGTAAAGTAAAGTTATTTAAATAAAGTCTATTAAAGTTATGTACTTAACTCAAAAACCAAATTTAAATTTATTATATATTTTCTTTATTTTACAATATCTTATAATTTATATTTATTCAAAACACTTATATTTAAAACACTTACACTTATTAAAACTTATTATAGTTACAAATATTTTTATAATTCCTGTATTAAGAAAAAAACTGATTAATGGTACGCTGGGAAACAACGTTACCGACAAGGCTACGCTGATAGGCTATGTTGCTACGAATTAGCATTACCGACAAGGCTACGCTGGTAGGTTGTGAACCAATGTTACCGACAAGGCTACGGTGGTAGGTTAGGAATCAACGTTACCGACAAGGCTGTGTTGCTAGAAATCAGTGTTACCGACTGGGCTATACTGGTGGACTAGAAATCAACGCTACCGACAAGGCTACTTTGTTTGGTATTAGTGTAACCGACAAGGCTACTTTGGAAATCAATGTTCTACGAATTTTTTAATTATCTTGTTATTATATTTCCTGTGATCAAGTGTCTTTTACTTGATTTTACTCCTCCTTTTATATAAATCTTGCGAAACGGGACTTCTAACTTCCGAGTGCACATTGTGTAGATTTCGTCTAAGTTGTTATTGCCTACTCTAAATGCTTGCGGCTGGTTTTGCTATGTTTGCTGCACATTTATTAAAAATTCGGCAAAATAAATAACACTCAAAAAAATGATAATTGTTACCACTTAATTTATATTTCACAGAGGAATATTGTTTTTTTTTTAAATTATTAAACTAATAATAACTTAATGTTATTGATAGTTTATGTTAACTTAATAATACCTTAATTTTTAAATAGTTCATATTAACTTATTAATACCTTAATTTTATTAATAGCTTATAATAACATTTTTTTGTGAGTTTATATTAACTAATAATAAGCTTTTTTTTTATGAGTTTAGATTAAGTAATAATGAAAAATTTTTTTTTATTAATTAAAAATAGCTTAATTCTATTGTTGTGTTATTAATATTTATTTTTCTTTTTGTTTTTTAGTTTTACATTAATAATAACTTAATTGTATGCCTAGTGCATTTCTATTTTTGTGGTGAGATGGTAAAAGTCGTCACAGCATATGCAATTAGTTTCGGAGCTTTACCATCAAATTGTATAAGAATTTTATTGATTACCAATTACCAGAAAAGGGGTGAGAGAACACCTCCCTGCGGGGTTCCTCTACATGTTTCCCTAGTTAGAGTTGTGTCGTTCCATTCTGCCCTTATCTGTCTGCAGCTTAAAAGGCTTGCAATCAATTGATATGTGGCCGAGTCTATACTAACATCACCTAAGCTATTTAAAATAACTTGCGTTGACACATTATTGAAAGCACCCGCAATGTCCAGAAAAACTCCTAGAGCGTATTCTCTGTATTCTAAGGTCTTTTCAATATTAGAGACAAGTGTATGGAGAGCAGTCTATGTGGATTTGCCTTTCCTGTAAGCGTGCTGTGCCTTTGACAGAACTTCGGAATCTAATTGATCCCGTACATGTGCTACCAGTATTTTTTCAAAAATTTTGAGAATAAAAGAGGTAAGACTAATTGGCCTATAATCTTTAGAGTAGAGGTGACCACTTTTTCCTGCTTTCGGAATAAAAAAAAAATCTTGCCACTCTCCACTTTACAGGTACGTAATTATACTTCAAGCATTCTCTATAGATATTTATCAGCCATGTTTTTATTAGGTCCGAGGCCTTTTGTATCATAACTGGATATACACCATCGAGTCCAGGAGATTTATATGAGGCGAATGAGTTAATTGCTCATTCCAACCTCGCGTATGTGACAAGGTTCGGTATTGCTCACGATTGCACAGCCAGGAATGTAACTGTTAGTAAGATCTACAAGCGATTCGGTGTTGGTTTTAGTCTATTCGCCGTTTTCCTTCCTGACAAGGTTAGGCATAGTTGGGTATTTAGATAGTAGTTTTTTAAACCTAGCTACCTCCACCGTCTTTTCTATACCTGCGCAGAAATCCTTCCAGGAGTTTCTTTACGTATTTCGAATGGCCTTCTTGTATTGCTTATGAATATCTCTATACTCCTCCCAGATAACTTCACATTCTGCCAGCTGAGCTAGCTTGAAAATTTCGAGGACTTAGAGCCTTTTTGATCCAAATTCCTTATTTCACCAAGGTGGTTGATCTATGTTTAGTACGCATTGGCATGCACGAGATGTGGTAAGCTGTAGTTAGGGCTCTAGTAAGTTGGTCAAACCTAGCTTCTAGATCCACGTAAAAGTCAATTATCGTAATTTTTTTCAGTTTCTGTTTTAGAATTTTTCGATAAAGGTCCCAATTCGTTTGTTTGGGATTTCTTAGAAGTTTGCTGCTTTTCAGGTACTGATAATCTATTTGGAAACTAATATATTTGTGATCTGAAACTGATGATTCGTTAAGAACCTTCCATTCCGTCACCGCTACATTATCTTCCGTGAAGAGTATTATATCTAAAAAGTTTTTGGAGGTCGGTCCAACATAGGTCGGTTCCTCTTCTCTATTTGTAGCACTAAGCCTACTTTGTATTATGTAATTAAAAAGAGACTCACCTCTGTCATTAATGCCAGTGCTTCCCTAAAGCATATGATGTGCGTTGGCGTCAGTATCGATAATCAGACTTTGCTCTCCCTCGCCGGCTAAATCTGCCAGCCTTTGAAGTTCTTCTGATGGTGTTTCTTCCTCGTGTGTAACAAGGCGCAAGTAGTACGTTTCTATCGCCATCAACCGCCACCACCGTTAGATCATCTGTAGAGAGAGAGTTTACAATATAAGAATTAATACCTTTCTTTATCAGTATAACAGTTCTTACCCTTATTACCCCTTGTGGAATAAATGTATCGCAGTTGCCCGAGACCGAGATCCTCCTCGATTTCCTCCGCAGCGAGTGTGTTTGAGTTCCTATCGGTCGAGTGTCGTTTTTTGAGGTGGAGGTACACGCCCCCTACTCCCCACGAAATCTTCCCGTATCGTGAATACAGAATGTCCTCGGCCATTTTGTTGATTAACAAGATGTAATTTTCTCCCTCGCCTTCCTTGGCTGACTTAAGGACCGTTAACACCTTGCAATCACTTGTTGGCATATCCGGATTTTATCGTTGTAGGAGACGAAGAGCATCCTCTGGCTTCACCACTCGAGGTATGAGAACTTTCACTTTGGGCAAAGACGGGATGCTTTTTTCTGTCCACTACTTCCAAAGATGTTCCTACTCATAGGACTTTGAGTGTTTTAACTGCCTCGCTTGACCAGTTCAGGGTCGACTCATCCTTACATTTCAGTAACTTTACTCCGTTGAACCAGCCAGCGCCGTCAAATGATGGCATTGAAGCGTCTGGTTCTGCACTCATTTTGTCGAACATAGCATCTAATAGCTTCATTTCTACTATTTTCAATCTAGTTTCTGCCATTTGTCCCTGTGGATCACTGCAATCGATAAGTGCCACAATCAAGCGTCGCTTGGCCACTATCTTCGCCATTGTTAATTTAGATGTGAACGCTTCCTGTTCTTTGGGTTCATCGGCTTTTTTTCCTTTTTGTTGCCGTTGCTATCTTAGATGTGGATGCTTCCGGCTTTTTAATAATGTCGGCTTTCGTCCTCTTCATGACAGTTTTCGGTTGAATGGCAGCCTCATCTTTACGCTTTTGTCTCTTTCCAGAAGGACCTTCGCTTTCGGTTGAGAGCTGCCTCATGATCCGAGACTACGGAGACTATGGCATCACTGCATTACATTGTATTTCTGTTTTTTGAAATCACGCCTTTGTGACCAAAGTCTACAGGGACTTTGGCATCACTGCGCTGTTGTTTGGCAGTAGTAGTACAACTGCTGGAACCTGCTCCGATCCTAGCAGAGGTGCAGTCACTGACAACGCGGCTTACATCACCGCGCCTACTGGTGGTAGCAACTGCGCCTCCCACCGACGTTTGGACTGATATCCCAACCCGACCTTCATCATTATTTAACTCAATTTGGTTTTTTTATGAAAAAACCTACCATTTTGCATTTCATGCCTACTGCCAAACATCTCAAAGTTATGACTAGGGCTCACCTGCACTGACCCTGTAACACTTCGTTCAATAATGTGTGTGACTGACACAAAGATGGCGGCACTAATACTAAATAAATATTTTTTTTCGAAAGTAGCAACCTTTTTAGGCTTACTGTCAAAATCATATGTTAATCCGACCATTTGTTTACAAGTTACAGTGCTTTAAGTGACGCTACTTTTAAGTTTTCAAAAAAAAAATGAATTCAAAGCAATTCCGTGTGCTGATTTATCATTGTTTTTTAATGAAAAAAAATACTGTTCAATGCCAGGAATGACTTGAAAAACATTATTCGGACTCCGCTCCATCAAAAAGAAGCATTTCTTATTGGTATGCTGAATTCAAACGTGGTCATACAGACACCGATGACATTCCATCTACTGGACGGCCAAATGACGCTGTTATTCCGGAAAACGTTGAAAAAACACTGAAAATCATTATGTCCAACCGTAAAGTGAAAGTGAAGGAGATTGCTGACATTCTACAGATATCAGCAGACAGTGTACACACCATAATACACGAACATTTGGGTATGAAAAAGGTGTTTTCCAAATGGGTGCCGCGTTTGCTCACACCGGAGCAAAAACAACAACGAATCGATGATTCAAAGAGCTGTTTGGACATGTTTACGCGCAATAAGTCAGAGTTTTTGCGTCGGTACATCACGATGGATGAAACATGGATCCACCATTTCACTCCAGAGTCAAATCGGCAGTCTGCTGAGTGACATGCAGCCGGTGAAAGCCGCCCAAAGCGACCAAAGACGCAGCAGTTGGCTGGCAAGGTTATGGCGTCTGTATTTTGGTATGCGCATGGAATAATATTCATCGACTATCTCC